TAATAACAACTCGACTTCCAAATCTTAAATTTTTGTTTTTGGAAGATTTTACAAAAATCTTGATTTCTTCCATTAAAATCCGAATTAAACGACGAATATAATCATAGATTCATGAAATATAAACACTTTAGGATATAGAACACTTAACATAATTCATATGGTGAAAATCGCCTCAAAAATCGCTTCAATCCGAGCTCCATAGCTCCAAATATGTCAAAAATGGCTGAAACCTCGAAATATAGCTATTGCCCACGTATTCACTCTTCGCGATTGCGGAAAATGCTTCGCGATCGTGAAGCACAAAAATTTTCAGCCCCAAAATTTCTCTTCGCGATCGCGGAAAACCAATCGCGATCGCGAAGAACAAACTCCCCCAACTCTTCCATACAGCCTCTAGTATAATAGTCATAACTTTTTGTACAAAGCTCCAAATTGCAAATGGTTTAACTTTTTGAAAGCTAGACACCAAGGGCAATAACTTTCATTTGTTGTTCATCTCCTAATTCATTATATATTGCTAGATATAAGCTTCCAAAATCAGCCCTGTGCAATAGAGATTTCCAAACTCTTTCCAGATAGCCTATAGTATATCTACCATAACATTTTGTACAAAACTTCAAATGACAAATGGTTTACTTTTTTAGAAACTAGACACCAAGGGCTACAACTTTCGTGTTTGGATCATCTCCAAATTCCTTATAGATTGCAAGATATAAGCTTCCAAAATCGGGTCAGTACAACAGAGATTTGTTCTACGCGATCGCGAAAGAGCTTCCGCGATCGCGATTCACAAGGCCCCAAAATGCTTTTTTCTCTTCGCGAACGCGACCAAAAGTTCGCGATCGCAATGCACACCTCTGTAGGCAGAAACCAGCAATTAAAAATGGCCTAGAAATGGTCAGAAACCACCCTGAAACTCACCCAAGCCCCTCGGGACCTCAACCAAATATACCAACAAGTCCTAAAACAGCATACGAACTTAGTCGAAGCCTCGAATCACATCAAACAATGCTAAAACCACGAATCACACCTCACTTCAAGCCTAATAAACTTTGAACTTTTAAATTCTATATCTTGTGCCGAAATACATCAAATCAATCCGGAATGACTTCAAATTTTGCACACAAGTCATAAATGACATAACGAAACTATTCCAGTTTTCAGAATCGAATTCCGATCTCGATATCAAAAAGTCACCCCCCTCCCCCGGTCAAACTTCCCAAAAATTCAACTTTCGGTATTTCAAGCTTAATTCCACTACGGACCTTCAAATAATTTTTCGGACACGCTCCTAAGGCCAAAATCACCATACGGAGCTATTGACATCATCAAAATTCGAATCCGAGGTCGTTTACACATAAGTCAAATCTCCGGTCAAATTATTTTTTCATTTAAGCTTCAAAAATGAGAATTGTTCTTTTAATTAAATTCTGAATCTTTCAAAAATCAAACTCGACCACACTCGCGGGTCATAATACATATTACGAAGCTGCTCGAGACCTTAAGTCACTGAACGGGGAGTAAATTCTTAAAACGACAAGTCAGGTCGTTACACATAGTGAGTAAAAAGATTTATAGAGGGGTATACGGCGTTAAAACCCCATGAATAATAGTCATTGCTTCTCCATGATTGTTCCTCATTTTTGGCGTTTTAGGGCCATAAAATAGGAATTCAAGATGAAATCCGATTTTTTATATGCTAATGTCCACGTCATCTTCATGAATTCGGGCGACGGACTCGAATTCACCTAAAATTTGTCAGGGCCATCAGAAATGACCTAATAAAAAATAATCATTATTTCACCATGATCGTTCCTCGTTTTCGGCGTTTTAGTGCCATTAAATGGCAATTCATGACGATTTCTAATTTTTCCTTTGCTAATGTCCACACCATCTTCATGAATTCGGGCGACAGGCTCCGAATCGCCGAAAATTTTGTGGGCCCATCAGAAACGACCTAATGAACAATAGTCATTGTTTCGCCATGATTGTCCTCATTTTTTTATTTTTAGGGTCATAAAATAAGAATTCATAGTGATTTTTAATTTTTTGTGTGCTAATGTCCACGCCATCTCTATGAATTCGGGCGACGGGCTCCGAATCGCCTAAAATTTTGTGGGCCATTAGAAACGACACTAATATGTATAAAAAAATAGATATGGTCATAAATTCATGTTGCATGACCAAGATATACCATAAAATGAACATGAAAGTCATGGCGAAGCAATAAGTATTGGTCATTAGGACGTTTTCCATAGATCTAAAAAAATTCAGGCTAATCGGAGTTCGTCAAAAAAAATCGTGAGACTCAACATATATTAATACATACGAAAAAGTAGATATAATCACAAATTCATGTTGTATGACCTCAGAACGCCATAAAATAAACCTGAAACTCATGGCGAAGTAATAAGTATTGGTCATTTTTTATGGTTCTACAAAACTTTATCAAGCAGAGTTCGTCAAAAAAGATTCTACAAGATTTCAGGCCTATCAGAGTTCTTCATAATTTTTTTACAAAATCAGCATATAGTAATACACATGAAAAAGTGGATATAATTATAAATTCATGTTGCATAACCTAGAAACGCTATAAAATGAACCTGAAAGTTATGGCGAAGCAATAAGCATTGGTCACTAGGTCGTTTCCTATTGACCTATATAATTTCAGGCCAATCGGAGTCTATTCTACAGAATCAGCATGTACTAATACACACAAAAAAGTGGATAATAATTACAAATCTATATTGTACGACCCCGAAACACCATAAAATAAACCTGAAATCGTGGCTAAGCAATAAGTATTGGTCACTAGGCCATTTTCTATAGTTCTACAAAATTTCAGACCAATCGGAGTCCATTAAAAAAATTCTACAGAATAAGCATGTACTAATACACACAAAAAAGTGGATATTATCTCAAATTCGTATTGCATGACCCCGCAATATCATAAAATGAACCCGAAAGTCATGAAGAAGCAATAAATATTAGTCACTAGGAAGTTTCCAATAGATTTACAAAATTTCAAGTCAATCAGAGTCCGTCAAAAAAATTCTTCAGAATCAGCATGTACTAATACACACGAAAAAGTGGATATAATCATAAATTCGTATTGCATGGCCTCAAAAACGTCATAAAATGAAGCCGACAGTCATGGCGAAGCAATAAGTATTAATCACTCGTTCGTTTCCTATGGACCTACAAAATTTCAGGCCAGTCGGAGTCCGTCAAAAAAATCCTACAGAATCAGCATGTATTAATACACACAAAAAAGTTAATATGATCACAAATCCGTATTAGATGACCCCGAAATGCCACAAAATGAACCTGAAAGTCACTCGTAAGCATAAGTACGTTCTATTCATAGTTGGTTAGGGATGCCTACGCCCAAAAGCGATGATTCACTTGTCCCCTTGTCCATAGGGATCTCGTGGCATACAACCAAAACAACTCCCGCTAGATAGCCGATTCCGATCAAGCTTGTCCCATATATATTATTAGTAAAGCGCTAACGTCCTATTTATAGTAAGGGAGCCCTCCCTACGTCAAGAACTTTTGGCTCTTCACAAGAGAGCGTAAAGTAGATCTAGATCAAGAGAGAGAATTGAGACAAAGCAATTAATATTAGTCACTGGGCCGTTTAAGATTAACCTATAAAATTTCAAGCTAATAGAATCCAAAAACAAGTACCGCACACCAATGAAATTACCAAGGGAAAAAAAAAAAGAGAGAAGAATCATAGCGAAAAAACGGCAGTTCGATGAAGAGCACATTCCTTCGTTTAATGTATAATATAAGATAGAAAGAAGCAATTAAGATAAGGAGCATATTGATATAGATAGAGCCGAAGACAGTTCAATGTGCAGTCACAATAAATTAACAGTAGGAAAAAAACAAAAGAAGCAGATTGATAAAATTAAGGCAGGCTGGAGCTGGCTGGCTGTCTAGCTGAGACTTTGAACTGCGTAAACTTTGTGCATGTGCCCTACACATTCTGAAACCCTTTTAAATTCTGTATTTGTTGCCATCCAATGTTTATATTCTACTCACTTTATTATATTATCGAGCGTCTTGATAAAATAGATAGAATTTCTTTACTCTTTCATGTCATGAAAATGGTTAAAATCTTAGTAAAGAACATTTTTTTCATTTAACGAGCCTTATGTAACATGAATGTTATTATAGTAATTTTTTTATTTATTAACTTTTTTAAATATCGATACCACTTATAGAAAATTTTGTATACGTCCCGATCCTCCGGCTCTCTCTTTATACTACATGGTAACAATGAAAAATGGTGATATGAAACTCAGACAATGAGTACTGAAAAAACTGATGTCCGACTAATGTTTTCTTATATGATCTTAAACAATTTTCACATTTTGATCTAAGTTGATTTAGGCTCAAGATTCAATTTTTTAAGATGGTATATCATAACATTGTTATTTGTTCAATATTGAGCCTAAATCAACTTAGATCAAAATGTGAAAATTGTTTAAGATCATATAAGAAATCATAACATTGTTATTTGTTCAATGTTGAGCCCTCATAACTATATTGTTTTTGCGCTCCAAAATTCCAGCCTTTTATGTGCACTTTGTTTTTCTCTTTTTTGACAGTTATCTACTAAAAAAAAGAATCACACAATCCAAAATAAAAAGCATGATGAACTGTAAAGCTTTTATTGATCAAAGGTAACTACTAACTACATTCTCCAACGAAGGGGAAAAAGATTTCCTCATGTCCAATTTAATTGATTTTTTTCACACATATTAAAAAAATTATCTTTTAATATTAATTCACAATGAAAATAATAGTATTAACTTTAATTTGTTCATTAAAAATATAACAAATACTCATACTCTTTACTCTAATTGCAACTTTGAAAAAAAAAGTTAATTCTTTCTTGATATCTGAAAAAATTAAATATTATAGACCACAAAAATAAAATTAATTAAAATGGATCGAAGAAAATATTTTCCCCTAATAATACGAGAGACAGTCTTGTATTTTCTCGTGCAAGATTTTTAATGGTTGCTCAGTTAATACTACTAGGGAGCAAAGTAATTCGAGTTTCCGTAGATATTAGTAGGATTGTAGTGGATGAATAAGATCCATTTATTCTTAATCAATGGTTTAGGTTCTAATCATGTGAATAAAAATAAATCATAGCACGAAGTTTTCCTCATTTAATGGGCTTTATGTCAGGGCGGATGCCCATATAACGAAGCAATGTCACGTGACACCGTTTCGTTAATTTTTTTTTTACCAAATGTCATATAAATAATACAAAAATTTTATCAAATGCGATATATATTAAAAGAGTGACACCGCTTAACCCAATTCTCTTCTTGGTCCAGTTGCGTACGATTCATTTCCTCTAGGTCTAGTGTTCGATTCCCTTTAGCAACTACCTTTTGGCAGACTTTGAAGCTTATTTTGTTTGAAAAAGAAGTAGGCTCCTGACCTCCTATAAAGAAAAATTTCTTATAACCAGCAGGCCAATATCCAATCAAATATATACTAAGGACAAAATAAATACTCTTTCCGTTCACTTTTAGTTTTCAAGTATTCTAAAAATAAATTTTTATTTTTACTTGTCACTTTTCGCATATCAAGAGAAAAATAATTTATTTATCCTGTTTTATCATTAGCATTAATTACACATTCCAAATTACTTTCCAAATTCATTAAGACTATACAAAAATTAATATGGGTATCATAGTAAATTATGCACTTTATTTATTGTTTCTTAATGAGCGTGCAAAGTCCAAGTCAAAAGTAGACAAGTAAAAGTAAACATAGAAAGTGCGTAATTAAGCTACTTGTTCCCTTCTTTAAATGTGACATCGCTCGCAAAAATTTCTGCATAAGCTACTGGTTTTATGGAGTTTGAAAATGTGAATATGGTCAACAAATAGGAAATCAAAAAAAAAATTGAAGTCTCTACTTCCACAAAAGAAAATAATAACGTCTAGGCCGAAATAGGTTTAGCAGAGCAAATGGCAGTAACTCGTACACAAGACAATCGCAGTTATTTCTCACTTCAAAAAGTAAATGCTCAAACAACATTTATTTCAGACTTGCAAGTACTCACCACATAAATATAATGGACCGTATATATAACAGACTCCACATGATAAAACATCAATCATGCAAATAAAGAAACTCTAATGTAAATAAAACATACTTTATTCAGTACTACAACAACAATCCAGTATAATTTTACTAGTGAAGTTTGGGGAGGGTAGTGTGTACGCAGACTTTACCCCTACCATGAGGTAGAGAGACTGTTTCCAATAGACCCTCGGCATTCTTCCCTCCAAGAACTCCCCACCTTAATCTTGGGGTGATTCAAACTCACAACCTTTTAATTGGAAGTGAAGGTTGTTTACCATCAGAGCAAGCCATATTGTCTACTTTATTCAGTACTACGGATTATGAAAATCTTCACACCTACTACAACAATATCTTTCTTTGCCTTGGGAAAACCATATATTAACACAGCACATGCAACTATTATCTCCAAGAATTTCTATTTAATTTTAATCATTTTTTGGCAGAAAACGAAATCTTTAAATCTCAAAAAACAGTTCTAGAATAGTTTTTGAAATTTTCTGCTCATAAAACTTCAAATTTTTTTCAAGTAAAATACATGTTCAAACACAATTTCAACTCTCAAGAATCATTTTCATCTCATCTTTAAAAACTTATTTTTTTTTAAGTTTTAACTAAATCGATGTCCAATGGCTAGCTAAGGCTTAAAAGAGGGGAGAGTACTGAAGAACCTTTTTTTTTTCTTCCTTGGGCAATTAAGTGGGAGGATGAAGAAACAAATGATCATAAAAGGTGGCAGATTCTGTCTTTTTCAAAAAAATTGGTCACAATTTGTATGGGAATGAGACCTAGCCATCAATAAAGTAGGTGAAAATTTTTAAAAACTAAAGTTCAAACTCAATAAAGACAAAAATGCCAGAAGATGAATTTTTTACATCTAGCTAATCTTTGATGAACACGATTACCTTGCTGATGGAAGTAGCAAATACTTGATAAACACGGTCAATTTAACACTAACTTTTAATAAGGAGAAATGGGAGAGGCAATTACAAGGTAAGGAATCAAACCTTCAGCAACAAAATGAAAGTTTAGGTAGTTAATTATTAAAATTACCCAATTTAGCATTAAAATGAAAGTTTAGGTAGTTAATTATTAAAATTACCCAATTTAGCATTACCTTAGTCCAGGCGTTTTACTTCTTGTACATATTTTGACTATTTCAAGTACAGTCAGACATCTCTATAACAACACCTTTATATAATAGCACTTCACTATAAAAGTAATATTTTTTCGGAACCAAAGGTTTTATTATAATATATGTTCTCTATAACAACAATTCGCTATAACATCCAAAAATATCTGAAACAAACGAGACTCTTATAGAGAGATTTGACAGTACATATTATCAAACTCTAGTTACCAAAAAAAGAAACTTTATTTTTTTTTTGTCTCAATTATGTGACGTTTTTATTTTTAGTCTAACCCCAAAAGAATTATATATTTTTATATTAATTAATTTTAAATATTTTATTTTAATAACTCTTAGTAAAATAACTTATTATCACAAAAATATCTATCGTATTTTAAAATTATAATTTTGTAATTAGCCAAACAACATAATAATATGAATTTCAAGCAGCAACACGTGTTTTCCCTGCCCGTGGTTGCAAAACAATCACTCACAAGCCAAACATCATCATTTATGCAAACAAGTCCAACAACTTTACTAAAAGCTGATTTCAGATAGATTTCAGGTAAAGCAAAAGCATAGACGATTAAGAACTTCCAACTATTCAATATATAAAAATTGAAAATTCTACATCATCAAAGTTAGCTAAACAAAAAATATGTGAAAAATTATCCAAACAAACAAGAGTTAATTCCCTGCATAATTACATAATCATCAAAATGACGTTGCAAGGTTAAATTCGGTGCACTAAGCTTTCGTTTGGGATCCGAAAAAAGTCAGATAAAAAAATCTATCTTAACATTTCTGCAAAAAAATTATTTTCACGACTCAAACCGCAAGCAAAAATGAGGCTCTAACTTTTAAAAACTGAAATTGTTCATACCATTTTAGCCTATGCGAGTCTTGCTACTACTATGATGATGTCTCTTATTTTCGGCTCCAGCACTAACATTAGAACCACCACCACCATCTTTTTTCTGTTGCGGAGAAGAAGAAAACAGAGAAAATCCAAATACTCCAGACTTCGAAGAGACTCTTAGAGAACATACTGGAACATTTAAAACCGGAGTAACACGAACAGTAGCTGAATAAGATCTCTCCATTCCTCCTCCTCCATGTTTATACCTTGCTCCACCATTATTAAAACTGCTTGGACTACTTGAACTTCTTCCTAAATTGTGGAAAATAATTTTTCCTGAAGAATTCATGCGCGGACTATCATCAATCGACACTCCACCTCTTGCAGTACTGGTACCTGTAGTTGGATTTTCTGACGATAAAGCTCTCTGTTTCACTAGTCGAATTCTAGGAGGATTAGTATTAGCAATGTTTTGACCATTGCTATGGCTAAAGCTAAGGGGTTTGTCAGAATCGAGAGAAAGTCTAGGAAGATCGTCGTGTTCGTGGCCGGAAGAGGAAGATGATGAAAGAGATAATCGAGATGAGGAAATTGAAATTGACTCGTAATCAGAGTCCTTAATAAGCAAAGGAATGTTAATTAGAGATGAGTCGGTTGAAGAATTGGAGGATTTTGAGCTGCGATTAAGGAAATTAATTTTCAGAGATTTATGTGTGTTGTTTGTGCTATTTTTTTTACCTTCTTCTTTGTCATTGTTGTTGTTGTTGTGTTGCTGTTTCTTCAAGCCTAAAAGTTCTCTCCACCGACTCGAACATCTCGGAGCCTTTGGAGAGAACAACAAGCACGTGTCCGCACGAGAAATGAGATCATTTCTCGTACGGAATTTCGGTGTCTCCGGTGATCTAACTCCGGCGGAAGTAGAGGTGGCAGCTGCCGTGTGGATAGCGGAGAGTTGTAGAGGCACGAGTTTTCCGTCGGAGAAAAGCTCATCGGCGGCCGGTAACATAATCACCGGATCTTCGAGTCGGAACTCGAAATCCGCCATTTCGTTAACCGAAAGTTCTGGATCTAGAACTTCCGGTTTATTCACAGCAGTTGTCTTGTTGGACCAGACGAAGGACTTGTACTTGGTCGGAGGACAATCGAGAAAATTCTCCGACGAAATAGTGATGTTGTTTAAGCAAGCTGATGAAGTCATGGACTCACTACAGAAAGAAGAAACGTAGCTTTTTGCAGGAAATGTAAGCGGTGAATTCCAAGCACCTTGAAATATATGCAGTGCGAAAGAGAGAGAAAGTTTTTAGAGAGAGAGAAGTTGAGGGAGAGCTAGGGTTTAGAAGAGGGGCTTGTGAATATTATGGAGTTTACCTGAAGCTATAGGAGAAGCAGTGTAGTGTAGCGACTAGCAAAGGCGAAACCAAGAAATTTCAATATCTATTGTAAATGGGCTATGTAAATATGTTCAAATATTATTTTTAATTAATAATAAATATTAATATATATTTTATATATAATATAATTTTTGACAAAGGGTGATAAATTGATCACCCTTCTGCCAATATAGCTTCGCCCCCAGGTGACTAATGAGTCTGGTCACGCTAGTAGTAGTAGTAGTGGAACTATGGCTATTTTACGCGAAAGCGGATATATAATTTAAATTTAATGGGTTTAGCTTTTAAGATTTTTAATATTAAACGCATTGTATTATTAAAATTACGGGTTCAAATCTAATACTTATTGGAATTTTAGTAAGTTTTTACGTATAAATACATACTCTATATCAAAAGTTATTGATTCAGTTGAACCCGCACCCCAAAGGTTACATCCACCCCTAATTCTACGACCATTTTATTTCTTTTATAATTATGGCATTCGGGTTAGCTTATGTTGAATAATATATTTACTACCTTCTACTCGCACATATATCACGTAATTCTATCAATCAAATTTAGCATTTTGCTTAAAATAATTTCCTGTCTATTTTCTTAAAATAATCGTAGTATCCATATATGTTTATGCTTATATCGATTAATTTCATAATGTATCTGATATCTCTCACCAGTACAGGTAATTGTGTCTACTAAGTATAACACTTTATTTAAAATAATTCCCCCTCTATTTCATTAATACTTTATTTAGAATAATAACATCTTTTTATATTAAGAATTATTTAATTTTAAACGTTTATTACCACAAAAAAATCATTGTAGATCATTAATCTAAAAAAAACTTTTTAAAATTTCATATTCAGCTAAATTACACAACTTTACCGTTGTTTTAAATATATTTGGTCAAAGAAAGGAATGTGACTTTTGAAATATTTTGTTGAGAGGGACTAAGGGAGAATCCAAAAACGAGAAGAAAAGGAAAAAAGAGAATTACTAGCTTAAATTAGAGGAGGGATGGTTCTTGGAAGCATCTGAATGTGAATAGAATATAAATGGAACAGATTCTGTCCTTATATTTTTTGTTATAATAATTCTCAATCAACGTGCTATGGAATAATTTTTACCCGCCTTCCAAGAGTTCTTTTAATTCCAAGGTAAAACTCGCACCTTATCAGCCATATATCATATTTTAACAATTGTATATATTAAATTATTTTAATATTTATAGAAGATACTAAAGGTCAGTAATTATAAATGTTACTTTGGTTATCAATATTTGTAAATAATAAATTCTATTATTTAAAATATTAGTGAAATTCTATAAAATTTGTTCGATCAACGTTTCAAAATTTACACTTGATGACTCGATCGGTAGACGGTGATACTATTATCTTTGACGGCGTAATCTTTTCTTTTTCACTTATGTTAATAGATTTTCCTTTTGTCAATTATGATGTACATCTTCTCTCAAAAGACACTATACGGGCAAGTCTCAGAACAGTAAACGAATATTTATTTATAATTTATAGTATAACTTTTTATTTTATGCTCGATCTCTCAATAAATAGTTAGTTGCGGTCGTAGTAACTTGTTTTCAGCCATAATTCTTATTTTTTTTCAAATAAGACTATATTTAAAAATAACTTTAATTTTTAATACTCCTTTTAAATCTTAACTTTGAATACATACCCTTTTCTCCTAGCTCGACCAATATTGTCCAAAAATCTACAAACGCTTCAACTTGAGAGCAATATTTGGATAACAGTAACTTGAAAGCTGTTGTGAAAGACCACTTTTCACTTGTACTTTGTCTTTTTTGTGCTGTGTTTTTCTTGAACCACATATTACGCTACCATGTGACCGTAGATTTCCAAATTTGTTCTGAAAAATCTGATTTTGGTAAAGTTTGGTTTGAAGATGAAAATATGTTTGGACATCAGTTTTCAAAATATATTTCCCAAATTTATTTTGGAAAAACATGAAACATGACTTATACCCACAAGTTCTAAAAACTATCACAAATACCCAACAGTACCATTATCAATAACATTCATTATATTATCGCAAATTATAGTGCTGAATATAAATAAATTTGATACAAAATTATCATTTTTATAATGAATTACATGATACACTATCAGGTGACCGAGAAAACGAAGCAACATTGTTACAAAATAATAAATGGTGGGCTCTTTTATAAAATACAAAAGTTTGAGGCATTTTTTAAAAAATGTAATAGTGATATGCTGGTTTTGGGATTTGGGATTTTGCCAAAATGTAGGCAAAATCTATGGCCAAACATGTGTTTGCCAAATAAAATTCAAATTTATTTTGACAAAATCTATGGCCAAACGGGTCCTACAAGTGACCAAATACAGATAATTGTACATATTAAATCCACTACAACCGATGAAAATCCACCTTTTAGCATTAAATTAACAATAAAATTGACCATATTAACCTTAATTTATTTATTAAAAATATAGCAAATTCTCCTAGGCTTTTTATTCCAAGGGTAACTTTGAAAAAAAGAAAAAAAATTCCTTTTTAGTAGCTGAAAAAATCAAATATTATTAATCACAAAAAAAAGGCCAAAAAATCAATTAAAATGAACAGAGGGAATAATTCATTGTACCGTAAAAACTTAAAATTATGTAATTTGATACGATATTCATCGATATTTTAGTAAATGTTTTATATGTGTGTACTCCTTATCAAAATATGAGTTCAGATGAACTTATAATCAAAAGGTTACATCCGACCTTCTATAAAAATTATAATGATATTACAAAAATTATTTTAGTAAACATATATAAGTCAGATATTCAGACCCTGATGTGGGTATCGAACATCACTAGAAAAAAAAAGTCAGATATTGTAGATAATAGTTGGTCCTAACCTATGCAATTAGTAGTTAGAGGGTAAACCTATGACGTTTTTGGTAAGTAGTCGGTCCTAACCTAATAAAATTTTATGATTTTGTATCAAACTTTAATTTTACTTTGAAAAAGAAGCAAGTACTACAAGAATAGTGATTGGGATTTTTCAGTAGACTATATACGTTTAATTGAGATTTCAGTAAACTATCAATCTCCATCTAAAATTAAAGCAGCACAACTATTTTGAAAAAAAAATGAAAAAGTCAGAGTTCCATTAAATTCAGTTAAAACCTAGAAATCGACCTTGACGAAAATCTACGGAGAAATTCATAAATTGTCGCTTAATTTCATGGAATACAATTAATTACTCTTTTTTGTCAGAAAAAAGTACGTTTTTAGAAATTTAATATGTTTGGCCAAGATGGAAAAGTGTTTTTGAGCAACAACAAAAGTAGTTTTTATACTTTTTGTAAGAAGTTATAAATTTTAGCTTCTTCCAAAAAGCAGAAGCAGAAGCAAAAAATTAAATTTTTATAAAAGTATCCTTACTATAAATTTATATTTTTCAAATTATCCTTCAAAGATTTAATTTTTACCTTTTTCTTTTTATTTATTTTATTTTATTTCTATTGTATTTTTATTCTAGATCTCCTATTCTTCTTTAAAATAGTCTCTCCACCATAACTATACCTCTTTTTTTATTCAGGATTAATGAAGTACATTCTAAATTTATATTGAATGACTATATTTTGATATATTTAAATCATCAATGTAAACAATAAGTAATACCGGATACCTAATATTGTTGCTTTGGATAACTATTATATTGATTAAAATATTTAATATATATTTTTACTTTATATTTTGTATACCAATTAAATAAAAAGAAAAATTAATTAATCTTTTATAATAAATATTTAAATTCATTTCTCTCTTTCAAATAATATATTACTTGTAAATTGAATATGTGTTGCTTTTTCCGTAATTTGATACTTAAAAGTACTTTTTAAGAAGATTGTCCAAACACAATTTGCTTATTAAAGTACTTCTCAGATTAATTGGCCAAACACAAACAGTAATTTTTCAAAAGTACTTTTTTAAAAAGCACTTTTGAGCAAAATCACTTCTCAAATAAGTAATTTTTGGCAGCTTAGCCAAACGGGCTCGAAAAATACATTTTCACTTTTACATGTCCACTATACTAAATCAAGAGAAAGACAATCCATTTTTTCTATTTTATCATTATCATTAATTACTCATTTCTCAAATTATTTTCCAAAACTTTTGGAAAAGCTATCATTATTATGGGTAAAATTGTAAAATGTATATTTTATTTATTTTTTTTAAAGGGAGTGCAAAGTCAAAAATAGACAACTAAAAATGAACGGAGGGAGTATATTAGTTCTACAAAATATATGTAGAATTCAACATATAAATT